TGGTTCACCCCCTGTGAAAATTTTTCCTGAAGGACCGGACCTTAATTGAGGTGAGGGCTCTATTTCTATGTACACTTGGAGTAGATACATCATATAGCTGGCCCAGGACACACATAGGATCTTGCTACAGGAACAAAAACATAGAAAATCCCACTTTTGATACTTTTGATGTTTTTGAGTGCCTTACTCTTGCATAAATGACCAGTTCTGCTCATATATAATTAGTAGTACATTCTCACATATGTTCTATACCAAGGATCAGCCCCACATAGGGCGCAAATGTGATATCTGATGTATAGGGGGTATTTCTACTGATAAGAATCCTACATAGTAATCAAGCCTGTGATAAATAATCAGAGACCTGTAATACCTCTCTTATATGTCCCTGATAATGAATCTGAAGTTTTAGAAAGATCCATGAAGGACTGACTGAATGATAAGTAAAATGACATATGTGTGAAAAGTGACAATTGACATCTTTATACACAAAATCACATTTATATATGGTACAGGTCAGATATTTCATTGAAAATATGTAGGATACATGGTAGACTACTAAAAAACCTATACTACATACTGCCCTGAGGTTGGAGGGTGGTGGAAGGGATGTGGTGTATATCTGAGTTAACTCAGTATTAAAGTCCTACTACTACCCAACTGACCATTTTCGATGTTTTGGGTCTTTGAACTTTCCCACACTCAATTTCTTATCTATTGGCAAAAATGCGAAAGTGTTCTGTACCCTACCCTATGTTGAATTGCTCCTGGAGGAGGAGCAGTGACACAAACAAACAAAAAAAGCAGTCTATTATGTTATATTGTACACATATATACTAAACTACTTGTATATAAAGGGGGACCTGTTGTGGTGTGGTGGTGAAGCTGCAGTGAAGTGGGGAGGGTGTGGGAATAATTGAAATTGTGGGGTATAACATATTGGGTAATGTTTTGGGTGTTGTGGGGTAATTCCCATGGCAGGTGGCCAAAAATGCGAAGCTATGAGGTGTGGAAATATTGTGGGAAGGATCAATGAGGTGCAGGCACCATTATGCATAAAATACATGGGTCTGGGGATTAGCAACAGCCATGCATAACCAAAATACCTGTAGTTAGCCATGGTTATGCATAAATATGACAGCATAGCCTGGCTGCTGTACCTGCTGTGACATGGCTAGGGATCAGCAGGGGTATGGGTAACCCCTGGGGGTCAGGGGTAAGGGTACTTGAGGGTAGGGGTATGGGTTTGGATTTGGAGACCCCTGTACCCCTGGACAATTGGTAGTACCCCTGGGCCTAGGCATAATACATCCCCAAATTGATTACCATAGGAGTGATTGATAAGTATAAAATTTTGAAGTTCTCAACAATATAATGGTTATTGGGCTTATTGTGATCTTATATTGTGAGTTAGCTCTTATTTGAGTATGATATAAGTAAAATACAATCAAAGGAAACATTTAAGTTAGTTTAGATGGTTCATAATGTATAAGATTTACTTGCCCATGGTTTGAGTCTCATCTACACACTTGGCTAGGACTCAAGAAGCATAAATTAAAGTCAGCCTACTATATCTTCTAGCCTAGATGATGATAATACCCCTGTACCCTTGTGATACCCTTGTACCCTTATAATACCCCTGGGTTACCCCTGACCCTTGGTCTGAGGGGTAAGACCCTCCAGGGGTAGGGGTGTGGGTTGGGCTTATGATACCCAGGGGTTTACCCCTGCTGATCCCTAGACATGGCTAGCACCTGGAGTAGGAGGTGTCACAGATATTGAGGCATTGGCAGGCTGATTGTGCGATGACAGCGCCTGGGCTTGGCCGTGCGATTTGGTTTTGGTCATATGCTCGTTTTGCTTTCATGAAATTTGGCCCCCGAGCGACAACCAAAGACTAAACAGCATTAAACCACAGTGGTGATAAAGACACTCAGGAGAGGCATACCTGCTTGTCCCGTACTGCAGCTACTTTGACAACACGAGGACTGCTTGGGTGTTGTGGGAGTTCGACTGTCTCATTGGTGCGGGGTTGAGAGTGGAAGAATGAGAACAGCTGGCTGATGAGTGCATCTGGACGCGAACTGAAAGGCATTGTGGGATGAGGTTTGGCTTCTTCGTCAGGGCTGAGTGGAGATTGAGGTAAAAGTGAGGAAAGGCGAGCTAGGAGCACATGCGGATTCAACCGTAAAGGTGTGGAGGGTTGCTGGAGCCCATCTGGTGCATCATTTTGGGGTCGAAAGCGGTGGAGGAGCAAGGAAAGGAGAGCGAAAAGTGCATTTACAGAGGAGTGGGGGTGTGCACCACCCACTGGGGAGGACTGAGAGCACATTTGTCTAGATGAGAACTAAACCATTGAAATACTGATCACGCACATAAACTTTCATACTGGCAAAAAATGCTGATGAAAACTCATCGACATCGCCAAACTGGTCAGGACAACGCGTAGCATCAGCCTGGAATGTTACTGTTACAATGGACGAGAAGGATGCGAAACACAGTACATACTTTCGACTTGCCATTGAGTGAAGAGCTAGGTGTGTGCTGAATTTCTGAACTGTATTGAGATGCGTTGTCTTCGAGTCTGTCTTTTGGTGCCTAACAGCATACATTGTTAGTGAGAGAGAGAGCAGATGATTTTTTGCCACTCACAATATTTGTACCCATGAGAAGTAAGTCTTCAAGGCCAGCTTCTTTGAGGATGGCATAAATGTTCCATGTGTAAGCATTTTTATTGTGACTAGCGACTTTCCATCAGGGGAAATGGCTGCAGAGCGCAAATGATTTTGGTGCCAGTGATGGAGGGGTAGTCCGACTGGGAGTTTGGTATTGAGATTCCATAGACGCACTGTTTTATCCCAATATGATGCACTTGCAAGAAGGCGGTTGTTTTGAGACAAGGAGATGGCGGAGACAAGGTGGGTGCTGACACTGCCAAGTGGCTCGAACAAGTTTTATTGCGAACCACGAGTCAAATATAATACAGAGCGGCGTAAAGCAAAATGGTGCGAGGCTTGATGACGAAGAGCTGCGAGGCTCGATGACGAAGAGCTCAAGGCTCCGAAAAGGGAAAGCTCGAGTGAGCGAACGGAAAAGGGGAAACTTGAGCGAGCAAACTAATACTATGGCAAGAAGGAAAAAACGTGAGTGATGAAAGGCACGATGGACATGCTAAAGGGCTAATTTTTATATATATATATATATATGTTGTCGTTTATTTTCTGGTCTTGGTGCCTTTTCATTGTGTGAAGTTGAAAATAGGAGGGATGAATGAGAAAGATCAATAGTTGATCATGGCGCTCGTGCTGAGCCATGCAATAGGGCGTTGAGTAGAAAGGGGTGCAGCCGCACATACTTCTGAAATTCGTTGGAGGACCATCGACCGGCAGCCTGAATCAGATCTGGAGTCATTCCTGCGATTGCGAGAGCAGTAGCACCTCCTGCACGCATCGAGTGTCCCGACATCTCTGACCCGCAATGTTGATGTAGCCGTTGTAGAAACCAACTCTGAGTTGGTATCCTCCCAGCACTAGTCAACCACAAGGCCGGTCTGAATGGGAACGCCCGATCCCGGTGAGCCAAATATCTTTTCAGCAATGGCAGTGCGTCGAAACCTACGACTGAATCCGACAGGACAAGGATGGTGGTCCCACTCCCTAGACTGTCGGTCTTCTGATAAGGCAGGAGATAAGAAAACACTGTGGACGTCAAGGACAGCATGTGGCGCAGCGCGACTTTGCGATAGGACTGATGTTGGGCTGCGTCTGGCCAAGTAAGTTCACCCAACCTTTGCAGCATGATGAACCCTGTGAATAGTAGCACGAGGAACAAACAGTCGTCATGATCTGCATCATTCCTGATGGACGCATTGATGCGCAACAGGTTATGTAACGAATAGTGATGTTCCGGCTCGGCTTCAAGCCCCGGGCCAGGCCAAGCCGGGCCTGATTGAGCCAGGCCCAGCCCAGGCCCAGGACACAGCCTGACCAGGGCTTTGGCCCAGGCTTCAATTTTGCGAAGCCTAAGCCGCTGGCCCAAGCCGTGGCTTAGCAGTGCACTATCTATTTCGGTATGTAAGTTTCTGTTTATGTTTATGTTGCCATCTTGCGATCGGTATCAGCTTCTCAGTCAATCATACCATGAGGTATGTCAGAATGAGATCACAGTGAGTCGCCGTTGTCATGTTATTAAAGCTCGCTGATATTTACCCCGGTCTTGAAAAGCAAACATTCAGCAATCCATGCGCCTTTACAGTCTTGCCTGGCGCTTCAACTTCGCTGCCTTCGCAAACTTAATCTGTTTTTGAATCACGTTCGATTTTTTATATGTGGTACGTGTATATGTGTTGTATCTACCTAGCAGCCTGCAATGACCAGCACAGTCCACACAGATAGTGAAGATGAACCTATCGTGCATTCTCGTCCCATACACAGGATCAAACCCACTGCTGCTCTCCTCCAACACTCGGAGAAGGCCGCCCTTCCATCCCAAACCAAAGCCATCAATGAATTCCGTGCCGCAGAGGCAGCCAAGCGTGCTTTGGAGGTTTCTGCCCAACCCAAGCCCGTGCCTCCCCCACCCACAGCTATTTCCTCGTCCAACGTGCCTCCCCCACCCTCACCTATTCCCTCATCCAACAAACGCTTGCATCCTGATGATGCCTTTGTCGACATCGAAGATGAATCTGTTGACAAAGACCACGACTCAGTCCGCGAGAATGCTCGTACCAACCCTAAGCCTCGTAGAAAGAAACAGAAGGCCCCAGAGCAGTCCCCCAAGTTGGTTGATGGAGATGGGGTTCTCATCGACATTGATGTCTCTATTGCGGACCCAGGATTGTCTCGGGAAGGCAAAACTACTGATATCGACGCATTCTTTGGAGCGACATTTGAGCAAACCAGGGCCAATGGCAAAGTGAAGAAACACCGAAAGTGCAGTGTTTGCCCGTAAGTCTACCTTTGTACTCTCATACTACTCACTCACTCGTTTGTAGGAAAAAATGTGTCCTTGTCAATGAAATCACCACCCTTCGTCGCCACGCTGAGGCCCATTTTTCCGGCAAGTATCGCAAATGGGCAAACCAACATTCATTTGAATCAATGTTACCTGGCGACGTCAAGGCTCGCAAGGAGAACGCTGCGCAGCAGAGGATCAATGCCCATCTCACTGAACACAAGGCCGAACGAGTCGTACCGTATTCTGACAAGTTGTTCAGACAAGCTGCCATTGAATGGCTTGTGGCGACTGATCAGGTATGTCTGCCTTCCTCAATTCAAAACCACGACTGACGGCTTATTTTTCTAGCCTATACAAGCGCTTGAGCACCCTAAATTTCAAGAGCTGATTCATGTTGCTTCTCGCGCAACCAACGGAGTCAAGATTCCGGGTAGGAAGGGCACTCGTGCCGAAATTATGAGAATGTTTAAAAACCACCTTACAAGGCTAAGGACCACGCTGAATGTGAGTGATGTCTGTTTGATGTCTGTTTGTTGTATTTTGTCTCATTGGGCTTCATAGAGTGCTGCTGTCAAGGGAAACATTAATACCACCTGCGGCGCATGGCAAGCGGAGAACATCGATGGTTATTTTGCTGTCACGGGGCATTGAAGAGAAGGTGCCCATGCAATGGGAAATTGAAAGCTCACTCCTCGGGTTCACGAAAGTCAACAATGCACATAGCGGCAAGCGGCTGGGCGGGGCCTTATTCAAAATTCTCGATCGTGTTGGGATTGCACAGAAGGTAAATCAGTTTATTTGACTATGACATCCTACAGCGCTCATATAACTTAGCTTGGGCATGTCACCTGCGACAATGCTGCAAACAATGGGACGACACTACAAGAATTTGCACGCCTATACGAGGCTAAATATAACAAAGTGTTTCCCTGGCGCCAGCGCAAAATCAAGTAAGTCCTGTCATTGTCCGAACTCGCTATGACACTCATTATTTGTGCAGCTGCTTGGCTCACGTCATTAATCTTGCAACACAGAGTCTGATCAGCACGTACAGCAAATCGCTGTATTACAACCCACACGAACCAAAAAGTCATGAACCGACCACTCGGGATGAAATAGCCCTTGTTCAAAGTATTTGTGTCAAGGTACATTCATTTTCGTTAGAATCATATGACACTACTAAGATATATTGATGTCCTGCAGGAACGGTCATCCGCGAAGCGAAAGGAAATGTACCGGAGTGTGCAGACCAAAGCAGGAGTGTCTCAACCAACCCAACTGTTGATTGACATGAAAGTTCGTTGGTCCTCGACATATATTATGCTTAATTGTGCCGAGACAAACAAGGAGGTACATATTTCATATTGTCATACTTCTACTCATTGATGCTTATTATCGGCTCTAGCACATTGATACTTTTGTATACGAGATAGGTCGTCAAGAGCGTGACTTGGCAAAACGTGCCAAGATCGACTTTCTTCAACTCTCAGCTGGTGAATGGACACGTGTCGGCCAATTCACTGATCTTCTTTCAGTACGAGAGTTTCTAATTTATGTGTACTAACTTCTTATGTTAATTTGTTTAGTATTCCGATGTCGCACAGCAAGCATTCTCATCTGAACGTGGCTCGACTCTGCATCTCGCAATCCCAGCGCTTGAAACCCTCTACAGGGCTTGGTCTTCGTGCGCCGAAAGGTCAAAGTATGCATCGTTCGCTACGTCCCTTCAAGCAGCTGCTGCCAAGGTAGACGAGTACTACGAGAAGACAATGCAGTCCCCTGCATATATAATGGCAATCTGTAAGTTGTTATTCATTGTTCAATAATCACTCTAATGCTTGCAAATGTAGTGCTTGATCCAGTAGGGAAAATGACTTATTTCAAGCGCCACTGGCCAGAAAATTTGCATGATGACGTGGTAAGCACTGCGGAGGAAGTGGTGAGTCGAGCTTTTTTTTGGCTTTGCACAATAGTCTGATTTTGCTGCCAGTTCAAAGCTCGTTATCGTGAGCTGAATGAAGACACTACGTTTTTGTCGTCATCCCAGCCCACATCCAAGAAAAGCAAGGCAGGTGGTCTCAAGTCACTCATCCGCGAAGTCATCAGCGATTCGGAGGACGACTTACTTATGAACCCCACCCCTACTTCCATTGGCGATCCATCACGGCCATGGAGGGCCAAATTTATGAGCTATTTGGAGACTGTTGAGGCAGCTCTAACAGCAGGTGTATCTGCTATTCATTGGTGGGGGGTACGTTCTATGGCTTGCACTACTTGGAAAATTCGTACTGATGTCAATTTTGCTCAAGATAAATGCACCAAGATATCCAGTATGGGCCTCGCTCGCACGAGATTACCTATCCATCATGTCGTCATCAGTCTCAATCGAGCATGCATTCTCACAAGGTGGCATAACCATCAGTAAACGACGGAACCGGCTTAAAGGAGACATTGTTGAAGCTCTCCAATGTCTCAAATGTGTGATACGACACAACCTTATCTTTCGCGAGCCTGGACCATCCTCTCTTGTGGAATCGGAGGAATTTGACGACTCTGAATTGGAAGCTGACAGTGAGGAGAGGACCGGAGATGTTATTGCAGACAAGGAGGATGCTTGGGATGCTTTGATTTCAGATGATGACGAGGTTTCTGAGTAGCGTTACTTCATGTATTTTCTTGTGCTACTATACTACGAATCTACAACTTTGCATACCACCAAGCCGCGGCCTAGTACGGCTCAAGCCACAGCTTTGGGCTGGCTTGGGCTCACGGCCTAGGCTTAAAATATGGCAAGCCTAAGCCCCCCCAGGCCAAGCCTAAGCCGGGGCTTTGAGCCCAAGCCGGGCCGGAACGTCACTAGTAACGAAAGAGGTAACTTTCGTTGGATGGGTTTTGACATCCTCCTTTTACACCCTTTCAGCGTCCGTGTTACGACTGAAGAACGTCTGGCTTCCTGAACGGCTGGGTGCGTATCCTCCAGTCGGTTTGCGATGCCCGATAAATATGAATCCACCGAGCGTGGCTCGATGTGGTGTGATAACCAGACGACATAAAAAGACAAAGTCTCGACCGTGGGGTCGATTGGAAGGTGATGAAGTCGGCAGAAAGTGATGTAGGAGTTGAGGTGGGAATTGTAAGCTGAAGCCGTGGTAGAGTCGATAGCGAATCCGAGAGCAACAGAGTGTTCGTATAGGAGACGCTCTCTTGTCCAGGCAACCCTATCGGGTTGCCTGGATGCAGCGGACACTGTAATCATTTTTTGGCTGCCCCCAGCGCTTCTCGAGGGGGTTCAAAGTCGTATAAGCTGGCTTCTGGAGCCAATTCCAACACCTTCTCGTTCTGATAGCGTGATAAGGCATCGGCGATCCCGTTTTCACAACCGGGAATGAATTCAACGCACAAGTCGACACTGAATTTGAGTAAGACGTCGACTGCTGCGAGTATGATAGAGTTATATGGAGGGTGAGCACGTAAGGACTGGAACATTGCCACAGTATTTGCGTTATCTGTGTATATCAGCATTTGCGCAGGAGGCTCTGACATGTTTGGGATGGCATATATTGCAGAGCAGACAGCAAGAGCTTCGGCAAAGAAGATAGTTTCCGTTGGTGGTGCGATAGGTAACTCTGATTGGCCTGCGAAGTTGTCGTTAGGAAACCACAATCCCAGGCCTAATCCGGATGTGTCCGTATAGGCGACGACCACGTCATCCGACCGTGGGTCAAAGTCCAGGGACTTGTAGAATAAGAGACCTGGCAAATTCTCCATGTGGTTGGCCATCCAAGTTAATTCGTGGATGATATGATTATTGATGTGAAGACGGGCAAGAGGCTTATCTTTCCCTCGTATCTTCTCATATACCGCTGAAAGTCCTGGCTTCAACAGCGGGAAAATGTTGAAACTCCACTCACACCAGCCAGTGAGTTGTTGGAACTCACAAAGCGTCCATCAGAATTTCTTTCTGCAGAACTGTCGTAAGTGTTGAATAAGCTCGTTCTTCTTGTGAGACAGTAGAGTCGCCGACATAGCATTAGGATCGATTTTGAACCCGATCACTGTTAGAGTTGATCCGAAAAGCTGTTTAGCTTGATCATGCGGAACACCTATCTCATCCCATAGTTCGAGTAAGCGCGTCTGTTTCTCCGGGAAGTCACATTTGTAAGGTGCATAATAGCGTGTGCGTCCGGCAACGTCAAATGAAAACGAGTCGTCCATGTAGAGTTTTAAAGCCTCGATGAAGGCACAATGAATGGCGATCCAAGCGACCAAGGACATGAATGATATCCAAATTTTGGGAGATCCCCGCCCGCCAAAGTTATTGTTGCGATCCACGTGTCGCTGACCCCGTACCGTAAGCACTTGCTTCACTTGCCATAGAGGATGCATCGGTAGACGTCTAAAGGCTTGGGAAACATCAGATTTAAACATGACGAGCTTTTCAGAAGGGTTATTTCGACGGAACTCGAGGAGTGAAGTGCCAAGCGAATGTAGGCCATCCAACTTGGTACCTTTAATATCTTCTGAAGCGATCATGGAATTCAGCAAGAAATCCCCGGCTGTATGATCGACGACAAGCCGCAGCTTGTCTGAGTTCGGCTTCGGGACAGTGTGCATAGGCACGCTATACATCCCAGGGAGAAGATCTGAACCAAAGCTCTGAGAGACTCAACCTTGCCTAATCTCATCTTTGAGTTGCTCCTCTATAAATTTCTCCTGCTCCTCTGATTTAGCGCATGTGCGCATTGAATTATCGTTGATGGACGGGTAGGATTCGTCTGAACAATCAGCCCATGGCCAGAAGCCCTCGCACAAGGCACGACAAACCGAACTGACGAAGGCTCGGTTCGGATGATCGAGTAACAGGTCTTGAAAACGGTTAACATTAATTGGAGTGACTATCTTGAAGAGGTGAGGATGATCTGTGACTGTGCAAGCTGAGTCACTGTTTGCAAGATACGCTGGAGCCGACGGAACAGGGTCTGCGTACTCAGTCGAACGAGCCATTGGACTAAATGAGGGGTCCAATGGAGACCATATCAATCCTCGGCGAAAGCGTGGACGCGGTAGGTATCCTTCAAGTTGATTTTGATTTTGATTCGTCAATATGTTTTGTTTTGATATGTCGGCGACCGCATACTCGGCCGTCTTGTTCGACATTGCAGACGTGGGCGTAACGGCAGGAGGCTGCGCTGCGGGTGCACTCTCCGTTATTCCACTTTTGACATGGATCTCGCCAAACGGTTGAGTCTCATCCTCCAGGCGTGGACTTGGTGGATTCTCCTCCATCATTATGCAACTTCCCTCCGGCTGAGAAGTGTGAGCTATAAAGGTCTCTGAAACATTCGAAATCGGACAATTCATACTTCTGTGAGTTCCCAACCCTGAAACGGACCGATTTGTCGTACCGAAGGACTCGTCCATGAAAGCTTTCAAGTTGTTGGTTGAATTGCTCATTGATATGTTCCGAATAGGCGTTAAGTTCAGCCTGTCGATAAGGGAAAGCGAACTTGAGGGCTCTAGCCGCTCTGTTCCATGCTGCGTTCCAATGGTGTTGGGTGGCA